GCCGTTTCCATCTGATATGGGACAAGGTTACGTAAGATCATTAAATCTGTCGATGAAAACATTTCTTTCATGACAAATAGATTATCTGGATCTCGTAAGTTAAATAAACAATCAGAAACAAGGTAGAACCTGGTACATACGTAGCTTGATCCACGAAGAGTGAAAACTAAGACTTAGAAGAAAGTGTTGTTTCTGTAAGCATACCAATAACATATTCAAATATTTATGAAGAAGGTACATAACCCTGACGAACACCACTTGAATTAATCCGTTCCGACAACAGTTCTCAGTAAACTCTTGCTCGACCAGTTAGAGGTTATTGTACTTCTTTCGTACACATGTCAATGACAGACAATGACACAGAAACACACCGATTTTCTGGAGTCAGCTCATCACGAGCTCTTGTTAGGCGTTAGATTATTATCGCAGCGAATGTTTTAACACGCGATACCGGTTAGACTGATTCCTGCATGACTGTCGCAAGAACACTTAGCTATCCTTTTTTACATACTAAGATAATCAGGGACTGAAACAGATCAGAAAGGACTGAGTCCTCTATCCAACAAATTCAGCATATATCTTACTAGGTAGTATATATGGATTGATTTCTTTACACTTGCTCTTTGTTGTTTCGGTACTGTTTCAGATATTCAGTAATGTAAACTGTGCAACTATGATGTAGAATAAGTCAAAATGTTGTCATTCTTTCAGGATGATCTATCTACTGTCGAACTGTTCTCATTGTTTCCACTGTTAAGTATGATTCTGAAATCTATGACAAAGTGACAGTTTCCTTTCAACTAAATCAGGTGATATTAGTTAAAATCTGTAGTTGAATATTCAGCTAATACGTGAGTCAAGAGTAAATTGGCAAGCTCAATGGATTTATACAGTTTTAAAATACTGTGGCAAGTATATTGATTGCGGGTTCTTTTGAGTACGTAGACCCTGATAGAGTAATGAAACCTTTGCTACCAGTTTGTTTTATCAGTTAAACGAAATAAAATGTCTGATAATAAGATACCTATAAGCAGTAGGTTTAAATCAAAACATCAGAAGTGGACTTCATTAAACCACTAATATTATTGTTTAATACAGTTATTATCATTACAGTACAATATTCAATTTATATAATCAATGTTCATCAACAAACTGTTTACTTCTATTTTGTAAAACAAACTGAAAATGTAAAATTTTAGGTTATATACACATCACAGATTAATCTCAGGTTATCATATTATATTAAAAAAGTATGGGATACTGGACAGTTCCTTTGACATTGTCAAGCGATGAAACTGTTCAAACTTCAATCAAATAGAACATTTTCATATAGTTTCGCCATCTTGACGAATTTTGAACGTTGAACAGCATATTAGTATGATCTTTGTGTGTTGTGATTAGTGCTCTGTACATAAATCGGTGCATTATTCTCAATGGAACACATTTAACTCTATTTCGTGTGCTGATTGATATCATGTTTCACGTGTTTTTATATCAGTACGTTAGTAATTATTGGGGTTCTATTTTTTTGTGGCGTACATCGAAGAATTTTTGGATAATACACTAACATTCAATAGTGTTGTTGTAACGGACAAAAACTTCAAGAAGCTGTTTATTTACAAAATATGTACAAAAGTTTTCGTATTTTTACTACCTGAGTGTGATGACGACTGAAATGATTCAGACATCAATACCATCATTTTGAATGTCGTTGTAAGAGAGCCAGCAATACCAGTACTATGATGAACTTGCAAAAGTTGCTCAGTTTTCTAATGTACACAAACTTTGAATGAAAATGGAGATGATAAATAGTGATAACGCCAACATGAATGAGAAATAAATATTCACGGACTTGTCACACTCACTAATCCAATATACACTCCTACAAAGGTGTGTGATTTGTAATCATGTCTTATGAAGCATGATGGATTCTTGATTATGTACAGTTTGTTCTCTTGTCCTATCTGTGATACTTTGTCAATGACAGTTGAAAATTAAAGCTTACGTCGCGATCCAGTCGGGCGTTTTCTGCACCATGTATATTCAAATACGTACATCTTTGAGATTAGACTTAATTACTGTTGGATATCATTGTTGTATAAGCTCTGCAGAAAAACAATTTATTGAAGGAAAATTGTATACGTAGTGAGGCATCACCTGGAGAATTTACATTGGTAAGATTTATTACATGTTTAAAACAACTAATCCCTTTGATTAATTTCGATCGAACAACAATGAGATGTAATTGATCTGAAAATAGGTGATGTATTTGCACGCTATACATTTCGAACAATCTGGTCACAGATATCACACTTGTCAATATGAAGATTAATAAAAGGTCAATTAAATAAAAGTTTAAATAGACATAAGGTGATAATTACTGAAATCATGAATCAATGATTGTTAGATGACCATTAGAAACATAGAGGCACTGCACAGCTGTTTCGTCCTGGTATGGAACTCATCAGCAGTGCACACCCAAGATGATAATTGGTAAATGAAGGAGAGTAAATTAACCTAGTTAGAAAGAATAAGGAAGCGTAGGGAAATGTCACATTTCCCTAGGCCATAATCTGTTTTCAAGAGTAACAGAGTATAAATTCAGTGTTATGATAACCTGTTCCTATACACACATAAGGAGAGGTTTAATTTATGAGTATCCAAAACTTCCATAAACCTCAAAATTCGTCCTACAATGTTTCTGTACAATGTTTTGAAGGCTGTCTTGATGTCACTCTTACGCCCCGACTCAGTTATGTGTTCTGCAATCGACGAACATGGTTTTTCTCATTTCCCATGTTTCTCGGGTCATCTGAAGTTTACTGATTTCGAAACCATTTCGGTTCATGTTCCATAAACCTTGATAGCAAAGTCCAGTTACTCCTCCCTTTGTATGTTTTTCCACACAAACATGTAAGTTACTCAATGCAGTGGGATATGATGGAGTCACTTGAGCAATGTCTAGGCCTATGTGGAGTCATGGGCTTAGTTTTTTCAATTACTATAAGTTTAGCAGCTCAGTTTATTTACTGTACGGCTTCTTTGGGTCGCTGTCCTAATAGTAAACCATTTGATTCGCCTCTAAATGGTAAAGTGATATAAACATTCTTCTTTTCAGCAGAATGAAAGATAGCCCTTTGTCTTAACTGTTTGATAACCGTTGGAAATCAATGTCTTCAAATGTTTTCGTTCATTCAGAGTCTCTAACAAACGGTTAGAGGGGGAGGGTTGGATATGGGCTTGACAACTGCGAACTGTAAAAAACCAACTCGCTAGAAAAACGCTAACCAGCAAAAGTAATTCAAACCATTTCAAACCCTATCCCTGCAGTTAGGTCTCCATTTAGAAGGGTTAAGATGTCTCATGATGAAAGCCAAGTTTCTTCAGAAGTCACGAGCCCGAAGACCCTTCTAACAACCATTAACATGAGTAGATGGAATGTTTGAACAATGTGGGAGACTGGAAGAGTATTTCAAGTTGCGGCAGAAATGAAAAGATACTACCTGGAGGTGCTTGGAATCAATGAAACACATTAGACGGAGGTTGAACAACTAAGAATAGCATCAGGAGAGCTGATGTTATACTCCGGCCATGAAGAAGAAAATACTGCACATACACAAGGGGTTGCACGTATGCTGTCAAAACAAGCACACAAACCACTAATAGGATGAGAATCTCATGGAGCCAGGCTCATCAAAGCCTTCTTCAAAACAAAGTAAGAATGCATTACAATGAACGTCATCTAGTGCTATGCACTTATCAACAATAACAACGAAGACGTTAAAGATCAATTCCATGAGAGGCTACAGTCAGGCTTTCAGAACTGCCCTACGAAGTATTCGGCCATTCTCATGGTAGAACTAAACGCCGAGGTTGGAATGGAAAACACTGGATATGAAGACATAATGAGACGACATGGACTGAGAGGACAGAACGAAATTGGTGAGCGACACGCAAACCTATGTGCATTGAACAAACTGGTCATGATCGGCACAATATACCCATACAGACGCATACACGAAGCTACATGGATTTCACCGTGTCACACTGCACAGAATAGGATCGACCATATATGCATCAATAAAAATTTCAGAAGGACCATGGAGGACATGGGAACAATGAGAGGAGCTCATATAGCCTTCGAACACCACTAGCTGGTCGACAAGCTAGAGACGAAACAGACAAAGCAATGTACAATGGGGAGGCGATCAACATAACAAAAGTGAATTACGACCTTTGGAAAACCGGCAAACTCAACGAATTCTAGAAAGCCCTCAGCAACAGGTTCAAGACTTTGAACGATCTACGTAACTGAGCAGTAAATTACCAGTCACTTTTATTACATCACAGCGCTTAGTTTTGTGAAGAAGGTTGGAAATATTCCTATGAAATTCGTCATAAACCTAATCTGAGCTATAATCAGAGACAAAAAAGAGGAAACAGAGAGTGTCTCTTATGTTCCCGAAATTCTACTGTTTAGTTTCGTCAAATAGCGCATAAGCGACCGTTTATTCTGTTGTGCACACGGTTTGAACATTAAAAGCTACAACATGTAGTTTGCAGCGTGGTTTCAGCAGACCAGGAATCAAATTGTGCATAAAAATAGTTGTGACATTTCAAGATACGATAGGTAGTTTGGCTTATTCGTAACCAATTCATCAGTTAGTGTTTACAGTACCTGTTTCAATGAAAACATTGTTAGACAAGTAATGAGTCTGTTTAATGAACACAACATCTGATTTCCTTGTCGCGCAAAAACAGTGATCAATAGTGATTTAGGAATACACTGATATCAAATTAATTTTTATAGTTAAGATTACCAGTCAGATTTGTTTAAATCGAATTGAGTTACATTTAATAATAATAATAATTCAGTAACTTACTATGTGAAAACATTCACAATGTGGTGACAATGCTGGAAATAGTCCACATTGGTGTTGGCGCTCTCACTATTCGTCATTTTGTTTAGATCCAAAGTTCATGAAATTATTTTCTTACTCATTTTTGTGATTTGACGAATCAGCATTTTGTTTGGCCAGTCAATTTACACTAGAAAAGTGTGCAATCTTTAAAAATTCTTCATGTAAATGATGCTGGGAGTAATGGTCCTCTTTACTCGACATTCGACTGATGATGTTGATGTCAAAATTGTTTCAGTCGTCATAGCTTGAAGATAGAACATCAACTATGAAGAGTGTGGTTTCATACACCCTTCAAATAGTAATATAACTGAATGATGTGGAGACACTGACTTCATGTGGTAGCCTCGGCGTTATAAATCTCTGTCCATATGCATTTATAATACGATTATTTGTGGTTGTTAAACATGTTGGCCATTGATTCAACAAATCCGAATATTCCGGAGTGACTTGAATAAAATCATGCTTCTTGATATCATCCAAATCAACATTAGACAACATTCCAAGTCGGATACACAACAATAATTCCAATATATATTGAATACGTGTATCAAAATCACCACTAATCCATTGTATAACAGCATGAAATACATTCTTTTCATTTTTACAATTTAAAGTATCTTCATGTAGAATTTGACGAATATCATTTGCACTTAGCTTTTCAAAATCTGATGTATGCCATATATTTTCAAAATTCTCTAAAATCACTTGATATGCCATATTTCCCAGTTCAGGCCAATAGAATGATTTATAATTTAACCAAATATCGATGGCAGCGGAGAAATCAGTCGTGGCAATCTCTTTCAATAGATTGGCACATTGTTCTTTCAATCTTGGTATTAGAAGAAAATCCGCGGCGATGAATATACTATAAACATTATCAGGATTAATCTCTGTTTCACCGGTACGTATAAATTCTACAATTGAAGGGAAACCAGGTTTCACAAATTCCGGTAATTGTATATTCCCATTTCCATTGTGATATTTTAGAACACGTTCGAAATAGACACTTTGTTCAGCAAATTCGAAAGCGTTCAAGTTATATGTATCACCAGAATCCATAAATTCTACAGTACAATCACATCGATAGCTCATTTGTTCATCTATTATCATAGGATTTGTATTACGAATACGTACACCATGAAAATAAACGCTCTCCATTCTGAAATCGTTTCTTGTTCAGTGCACAATCCATAACTCTTGAAATGACAGATTCATTTTGCATTTTCACAAAATATACATTTATTCAAATTAATGACATCAATAAAATCACTCAATAATTGAATTTAAACTACAGGTGGATGTTGAGATAAAATCAATAAGGTCATGTGATTTTGATGGAATGCCAAGAGGATGGGATTTTTGTACAATGAGAGAATAGACGTTAGATTTGATATAATTATTTTACAACATAAACGAGCAATCATTGTTTACTTATTATTCTATGTGATAATAATCTCACTGACGATGATCAACTGATGTTTCGTGGTTTTTCATCAGCTGTCCAGAACTATATACATATGTAATAATGTCTAACAATGGAGTATGATAAAATGAGTTAGAATGTTAGGTGATATTAATTTGAATCTGCAACTGGGTTACTCAGTGAATTGTGTAAGTTTCTTCATACAGTAGATCGACAAATCTGATGGATTTCTACAGCTTAAAATAATGCTGTCGTAAGTATATTGATTAGAGGTTCTTTTCGGTATCACTGATAGATACCATACTGAAAAGAAGGATAACCAATATCCAATATCTTTTTCACGAACTACTGTTAACCAATTGATTTCTTTAAGCTTGATTCTTGTTCTGTCAGTACGGTTCCAGGTGTTCGGTAATGTCCAATGGATGGAGGTCTAGCCACTCGACTGTCTAATTCTAGTCAGTTGGTAGTTAGTTTTGAGTTTGTATGTCTCAGGATTCGAATGGAAATGTTCGTTTCCTGGCAGTAGGGTTTCTGGATACCATGAGCCGTCACATTACCAGACCGGAGATCAGTTAGTTGCAATGTGGAGAGTAATAAGGATAATAAGGATAAAGTTCTAATGCTAATATGAATAAAATTTCAAAACCAAGTTATATATAGATGATTTAGTTTATTAATTGGTGGTGAAGATTGTGAGAGAGGACCGAAGTGTAAGCAAGGAGGAGGAAACAAAGATGATAGACGAGATAGTTGAAGTAAGTAATCTGAGGAGATGGCAATGATAACAACTAGCAGGTCTCAAGATATGCACCATCAACAGCTTGTCCAAGATGGAGATGATAGTCCGTATATGAGTACGTGATTATCAAGTCTCTTCTTAAAGCTGTCTACTGAGGGAGCTGTGGTCACCTCGGCTGGGAGAGCATTCCAAGTTGCGACGACTCGCAATGAGAAAAAGTGTGCACGAATCTGAGTATTTGCTCTTTGATGTGCAATCTTTCGAGGATTGCCTCGAGGGGAGTTGTGGTGATGCATCGGTAAGATGCTCACATTGGGATGCTTTGACGTGCTTAATATGTTGTACTGCATAATTAGATCACCTCTGATTCTAATCCCAACAGCTGGGGTCTATCGTCGTAGGGTTTATTTTTCAACCCTATTACCCATTTGGTTTCTCGTCTCTGCACTCGATCCAAGAGATTTAGGTCTCTTTAAAGCAGAGGGGGTGCGATGACATTGTGAAACTCCAGGTGTGGGCGCTTATGCGTCATAAATAGTGTTAAAATAATTGTGGGGTGATAACCTCAAGTTGTCTTCGCATAAAGTGAAGAGTCGCATTTGCCTTGGCTGCATCCCCTACATAGTTCGGAATGGTGTGGAGGCTTTCTGTGGTTATTAAACCGAGGTCGTGCTCTGCTGCTGTTTTGGTTTTTCTGCTCTCCTTAACTTCTCCCTTCTTCTCTAGCATGATTTGTTAGTATTCTTTCAATAACATGATACTGCCAACAAATATATTCCCATTTCTGGATTTTATCTTCTTCCCAGTCTTGATTCACATAGATCTGACGCTTATCGACTGGAACGTAATTGCTTAGTAGTGGTGTCCATAGTCAACCGCAACTTGCGCTACTACATTTCGTTATGTTGTCGCAACAACAGTAACAACAGCGAATTAATCAGTTCGCATATGTTGTATTTTACGGTCATTTTTTTCAAAGAATTTGAATAAGATCAAAATGAAGTTGATTAGTAAAAATATGATGTTACGTGACCGCGTTCATAAACTGAATTTTGAGATAAACGTGTACATGAATTTTAGTGAGATGTCAACGGGTTCGTAAGAAATGTACCGAACAGAAGATCTGTATGAAATCAGAAGAAGAATATATACAGAGCAATTCTGCATGTAAAAATATGAAACTCAGTGATCTACAGTACTTACGGATATATCGCTTAGATTGATCTTAGTTTTAGTCTCTTAATTATTGAGTGTATCCACGGTGAAGAACCATGAGGCTTCATGTGAAGAGAGGCTCGACATAAGACTGCCGCTCATTCTTGGGCACATGTTTAAGTTCAGAACATGCCACTCTCCTGGGCCTTCCTTTATATTTATACCTAATCGTTGCTCATTCTTTTGATTTCCGCCTCCAATTCTCTGCGTTATGTGTTCTTCGGTATCCCTCTTTTCTTTTTGCCTTGAGGGTTCCAAGCTAGGTCTTGTCTTGTAACGCAGTTGGATGCATTCCTCAATTTATGTCCTACCCACCTCCATCTCTTTGCGTCAATTTGTTCTGCAGTTGTAATCTGATTTGTTGTCCCTCAGAGTAGGTTGTTACTGATGATGTCTGGCCAGAGAAGCCGAAGAGTTTTGCATAAAGGACTGTAAATGAATACATGTATCTTCTAGATGATGGCTTTCGTAGCTCTCAAAGTTTCCGATCCATACAGGGGACCTCTCTCGATATTTGTGTTAAAAATTGTGATTATGGTGTTGGTTGATAGTTGTTTGGAGTTCCAGATGTTTTTTCATTGTAGAAACGCTGCCTTGCTTTACGTATCCCCGTCTTCACATGTGATGCAGATCCACCGCCCTCATCAATGATGCTTACAAGATATTCAAAGGATCTTACATCCTCCAAAGCTTCTCCGTCAGTTATAATTTTGTTGATACGTGTCGTGCTATATCGGTGAATCTTGCTTTTTCTTTTGTGTATATTCAGACGTACTGCTCCTGAGATTGCTTCCACACTGGTCTTTTGTTGTCGCATTTGTTGCTGCGTGTGGGATGATGTTGACTATCTTCGCGGCTGGACAGTAGTGTCTATCCTGTCCACGCTATCAAGTAATTTCTCATAGCCAATGTACATATGTACGTTCCTTTCGATTGATAGATCCAAAATGATAGGTCCTCACGGAATCCAGCCTGCTGATCTCGAGGTTGAGCGTCTACTGAATCCTTCATTCTTCTAAACAGTTGTCCCTTGTTGACTGTTCCTTACTTGCTGAAATCACCTTTCTTGTATATCCTGATCAGGTGTTTTTCATTCCATCCCGTTAGTACTTGTTCTTCTTCCCGAATCTCACTGAATAGAAAATGGAACTTCTTTGCAGTTGCGGTGGTTTCAGTGCCTCTTTTGAAATAATGTCTGGAACCGCTGTTACGTCCAGGTTTTTGCCTTTTGATCCTTTGAAGCACGGTTGTCGATCTATTTGCAATTCACGTTCCCAAATAGTAAATAAGAACGAAACTCCAAAGTAGATACCAAAGTTTATTCCAAATCACAAAATCGACCAAAATATGTTATTACAAATAGACGACCAATGTCGTTCTAACAACAATAATTATAATAATTACAATTACCTTCTATTTTATAGGTTCTTGGAGCAAAAAACTGCAAACGAACGACCAAGAGAAACGGGAGTCCAAAAATGGCAGAAAATAATAATTCAAACAAGTTCATAAGTTAAGTAAAACAAATATACCCAGAAAACAGTGAAATTAATGATATTTATATATAAAGGTTTTGATCAGCAAAATGTCTTCATTCCTCCCGTAAGATCGCTGCTTTTTTCGATCTTGATTTATCTGATGGACAAGTTAGTCTCATTAATTTTTGCTTGGTGAACATCAACTGCGCGATACGTAGCTGCTATTTTATTACCGGTAGGTTTAGTGGTGCTGGTCGATGCAAGAATTCTTGAAAGTGCTCTACCCACCGGTTTCGCTGTTCTTGAATGTTAGTGACTGGCTAGCATTACTTTTTTGGATAGTGGTTCTAGTTTATCATATTTTCCATCTAACTTCTTCGTTTTATCTTATATTCGCCCCACGTCTCCTTCCGTTACAGCTTTTTCTGTTATCAGGTCTACATATAACAAGAATTTGAGGTAAATGTGCCAAGAACTGGTTGATAAATTAACAGGCCCTTGGGTAAAGTAACCAAGTCTTCGGCAAATATCCAGACTAATACATAGGTATTGGAATAAGGTGCTGAAAAAAGAGAAATAAAGAGAACGGGGTGAGGAGCTGAATAGAAAATGTTCTTGTTCAAAGGCGATCGATGTTTCAGCATACACGTTTCTGGGTAAAACAAAGGTATGTTTACTGAGACTTTATTTCATTAGAACACTTACTGTACACCTGCATTTATGTAGGTTAATGAAGACAGTTCAGTAGTAAGATAATGAATGGACAAATAGTCGTATGAATAGAGGAAATTCGGAATAACCAAATTGTTAGCAACAATGTTGATTTACAGAATATAATAATGAGGCTCAGTGATCTTATGCTTTTATTTTATTTTATTTAATTTATTTTTTTATTCCTAATGCTTTTGCTCAGGAAGTTATGAATGAGCTCTTGTTCTGTATAATTTTCCAGATATGCTTGTAATACGATTTCTTGGCAGGAAGTTAAAACCGGTGCAAGGTTACGGACATGAGTCGTAGACAATGTTAACAAGGATAAGTGACGTCAATATTACTGGATTGTCACATCCTACTGTCTCGTAAGGATCCGTAAGCAAACACAATGTTCTGCCACACAGACGTGGGTAGATTGAGGTCATCGCCCCATTATCATGAGTGTTGGTCAGATAGATATCCTACACACTTCCCTCTTTAATCTCTACTGCTCCTTTTCACTTGCCTGTTTGATTCTGTGTATTCAGCTTGCGCCTTTTCTTTCTCTATAGGCCGGCCTATATCGACTTCTGCCTTCTTGTTCTTC